TTGATATCAATTCCGAGGATGGACTGCAAGAACTGTCTTGACCCGCAATGCAGCTTCCTCCATCCGACTGTCTGGCAATCATTTGCACAGTGCTCTCTCACTCATTAATTAAGCACCCATTCAAATGAAAGCTGACAGATACAGATACATATAGTATGGTATATATTTCCCCTTTATATCAAGTAAAATTGCAATTATTTTCAATCAAATTGAAGTACTTTTGATGGCAAAAAGCCCTTCATTCTGGTGAACTCTATCGATTGACCGATTAACATACACACTACCCTGATTAATGGCCATCGAATATATGTAAATGTTTCTTTTTTTTTTGTTTTTGTTATGCCCGGTGTCTGGCTGATGGGTGATGGATCGTTTAGTGGCGGCGGCCCTAGTCACTGTCACTAAGCAGAGCACTGCTTTGAGGGGCCTTTAACAGACCTATGTAGGCCCATCAATCATCAATCATCTCTTCCGCCAGATCATCAATGGGTCATGGCTTCGATTTGTTGTCTGGTTTTTCTCTCTCTCTTTCGTTTCTAAGTTTAGCTGTTGCTACGGTAAAATGTGTTAAAAGGCTTTCGAAACGTTGTTAAACAAAGTTTAAGCTTGGGGCCACACAGAGACAGACCCCCAGATCTCCAGCCCCAGCCCCATTGAAGTCTATCTCTCTCTTCATTTAAATTTTGATTGTTTCCGCAGATTATACATAACTTTGGATTGTGGGACTTTTGGGCTGGGATTAGTGTTGAAAGTTGGCATATGGAGATTGAGCTCCGTCACGGTTTAGCCAGAGACTATGAAATTCTGAACAAAACAGTTGGCAGTTCCGTTCCGATCATGCAGCCTGATTCGCTGTACTATATCCTCAGCAGGTGATCAGTTTTGTTCGGAAACCCTTTTAAGTGCCAAAAACAAATTGGCAGATCCACAAATTGGCCACGCCCTCCACTTAGCACCTTTCCTTTGTCGCTCAGCAAGTGGTTAGCCCCGTTGAGCAAAATTTATGATATCATATCATATAACAAAGCACGTTTTATGCAAACAATTCTTATCGCTTTGGCACCAAAAAGAAGACCGATTCGTTCGGTGAGTAAGAGCGATATCAGAACTTGATTGAAATATGCACAAAGCTGTTGTTCCTATCGCCAAATCACGTAACTTAAGACCGCACAATGTGTGGAAACACCTCAAAAGCTTCAAGTATTTATCTACTCTAATACGTAATCGTATTTTATCGGTACTCATCTCTGGCCTGAGCTTCATTAGCACTTCCTCCACACACACACACACACACACACAAGAAAGAAACCTCCCACATAGAACCGTACAAGCAAAAAAGTGTTGAAACGTTATGTAAGAATATGAATACTTCAAGCCCCCACCACCCGCTCTCAACCAATCCAATCCCCCTCTTCGCAGACAGACCAAAAATAGGGGAATTCTAATCATTTTATTGATTAATACCGTTCGATTAGCAGAGGCCCATAAAAGAAACCGATATACCCGTAGGCTGAAGTCTACGGGGGGGGGGAAAGAGACAAAAGGCATGTCCAAATTTGCTTTCAATGGTCGTCAGCAAGAGAGAAAGAGAAAAACAACAACAAAAATGTGAAACTAAATTTGGAAGTCAATGGAATGTCAAGAGGTAGAGGTAGGCGACAGTGGGGCGGGAGTATGCTCTCGTACAGCTTCCATGTGCAGCCTACCTGCTTTTATGGTTTATAAATAGAACAGACCCCCCCTTCGCATTCCCCCTACCCACAACTCAACACAAAAATTACACAGGGACAAAGGCCCTCAACTCTTCACTCTCTCACACACACGCACACACACTACAGCTACAGGGCCTCTTCATATGTCAAGTTTCAAGTTCAACTTTAACCCTAGAAGAGTTCATTTAATACAGAAAAACAAATTGCACAAGTTAAACCGACAGATTAAGCGAGAGATGTCTTCCTAAATAAACCATAACTTTTTTGAGTATTTTTGGGATTTATCATCGTATAAAAAACAAATACCACAAGGGTTAAGCCTGCACTCTTCTTCATTGGCATCGGCGCATCGGCGTATCGTCGTATCGTCGTGCTTTTGTCTGCTTATTGTTGTTCTTGTTGCTGCTGTCATTTGGCTACTGTGTGTGTCGGTCGTGTCTGGCTACTCTCCAGCACTCTCAACTCTCTTGAATCCTCTCTGCACTCACACCTCTCCAGGCTTCTATTTACTTTTACTCAATTTTTTTACAGCTAATGAACGGCAACGGCAGAACCGAATCGGAATTGGCGTGCAAATGAAAAATCAACAACAAAAAAAAAACTGAATTCAATGAAATTTTTAGTTGACTTTATGGACGGCTGACTATGGATTTTGTATATGTAGATGAAGTGAAGCAACAACAAAAGCAAATCGATTTGTACAGCTGGGCCGACCGACACAAGGTGTGCTCCGTATAAGGTGAGGCATTAACTTTAGTGCCTTTGCCTTTCTGGGGAGCTGGAAGAAGTACTCTATGAACACCTCACCTTATACACAGCACACCTTGCACAAAGAACCGTGCCTACTGTGATGAGGGAAAGAGTACGAGTTATTGACATGGGAAATGAACAGTTTGATGAATTGAAACGAAATTGAAAAACGCTTGAATTCTAACGTACAAAAGGGGGCAGGAGGGTTCGAAACTGGTTGCAGGGGGAATTTGATCTAACTGTTATTTCGATTTATGCTTTATTGAAGGCAATTTGTTGTGCCACTCTGTCTTTCTTTTTTTGCGTGCTCGAATTATAATTGCCATCGTAAATTGCTCGCTTTTTTCCTTATTTTTTGTTGTTTGTTATTTATTGATTTTACAATTTTGAGCAAATCCAGGGGCAGGGGATTTTTATTATTATCATTGTCTTATGAGAACCGCATCAGATGATGTTCCCCAGATCAATGATGATACAAATGTACATATCTCTGATATAAGCAAAACCGCGTATTGGTTAACAATTTAAGCATCACATCACCAGCGAATGAAAGTAACAAATAACGACATTTAAGCGTAAGCAATTATTTGTATAATAATTGCAAAAATATTCAAGGAATGTCGGTTAAACCGACAGGCAGTCAGGCAACAAAACAAGAAAGAAAGGTGGAATGTGGGAGAGCGAAGCTTTCGATACCCTTTGGGATATTGATCGACACGAGTAGATTGTTACTGGATAGACAGAAAAAAAACAAAGTACAGACAGATTAATGTAAGCAAAAGTGGAAAAGGACTTACACTGCAAACAACCCATCAAAAACATATCATCCGGTACATGGAAGGGTATCAAAAACACTAAGCGATTCCAAAGACATTGACTCCGCGCACACTACCCGACACACAGACGAACACACAGATCCCGAAGGCGAAATGATTCATCGTCATCGGCTCTCCATTGACACACTGAATTATGCATAAAGCAGCAAAACTTCAACTCTCCCGCACTCCCGCTCCCACTCTCAGTCGCTCTCTCGCAACCAGCCACACGTGCCCTCATAAGAGAAACATTAAAAAGCAATAACAATTCTCCACTTGAACTTGAAATCACCAAAGGCAGGGGGATGGGAGAGAGGAGAGACAGAAACAAAAGCAAATGCAAAGCATTTTAATTGCATCTTTAAATGCCAATAAAAGACAGATAGGCGAGGGAGAGGGCAGAGAGCAGAGAGCACAGAGCAGAGTGTGAGAGAGAGAGATGTTCCCAAAGTTTGTTAATTTGCTAAAAATAGATGCTCTCTCAATAGTTGCCGCTGCCGCTGCTGCTGCTGATGCGACGTGTCGTTGCTTGTCTTGCGGTTTTTGTTGCTTCTCTTTATCTCCTTCTCTTCCAAGCAACGGCCGATGTTTATACCCTTGCAGAGAGCATACTGATTCTACGATGTGTGAGAGAATATAACAGATATGTAGATCGAATGTATAGCCAAGGGTATTACAAGGTTCGGCTTTCGAAGCAGGTCTCTTTCTAGCTTTTTTTGCGTGTCTCTTCCTCTCCTCCTACAATGCCCCGTCGAAGTATGGACATCTGCTCAAATTTGTGTTTCTGCTTTGATTGATGATGCCTGATTATGAGTCACTCAACTCCGATCGGCGGGGGGCGGGGGACGGCGGGGCCTTGCCTTCAATCGCATTGGAGGTGAGACAGAAAGTAAACTAAGCTGCAGAGCAGAGCAGAGCAGAGCACAGTGGAGCCGCAGAGCAGGCCAGTGGGTAAGTGGGTTAAGTGGGAAATTGATGTCCACGAGTGTCGTCTATATATAGTACATATATCGACATGTCATGGTAATCTGATACACGATATAGGGCGGACACTATGATGATGACTTGTTGAATTAGTGGCACATAAACACACGCAAAGAGCGCTGATAAAATGGTCTTTATAATAAATTTAACTGAAAATGTAATCTTTTTAAAATTTCTTGTTTGCTTTAAACATTCCATCGGAGTCCATCCCTCCCCTCTCCCCCGCAGACATTCCCTCTTCCTGCCACACCTGCCACACATCTCTCTCTCTGCTATCTGGGGTATTGTTTCGCTTGGGGCAAACAGACAAAAGCGTTGACAAACCCATAGTATGGCCCCACCCACGCACGCCCCCCTCTTCGCACTTCCCCCGCGCCCGCAACCACCGCTTCTGTCAAGTGCAGTGAACCGTTTTGGGGCACGTCGCTGGGCAAACAGAAAAATGGTAGAGAAAAAACCAGAGAGAGAGAGAGAATATAAAAGCACATTTCCGTTCTGCTTGAAAGTGTAAAAAACCAAAAACAAAAAAACAATTTATGCCGGAACAAGAATTGAAATATATATAAATATATAACATTTTTTTAGGCTATTTTTTTTTTTTGTATATACCAGTCCAAGTCCCTTTTCGGCCCTTTTTTGACACTCTCTTTTTGTTGGGCCTATTTTCTGACTGTTTTTCCCGACTGTTGTCTCCCATTCCGCAGATTCCTCCCATTCCGTGGTGGAATTGAAAACTTACCACACTGACTCCCATTGATCGCCAGCCCCGCCGCTGCCGCCGCCGCCGCCTCCTTGGCCTGCTGGTTGGCTCCGCTGTTGCTGTGCAGAATGTCGGAGAGGGAGAGCGAGGAGGCGATCAGCTGGCGCTTCTCCTCAAAGTTGAGGAAATCCATGGAGTTGCTACGCTGCGGCGTCACCGTGATGGTCACCGACTTTTGCATCTTGGCCACGACGCACAGCTGCTGCTCGAGATCCGCCGCTGCTGCGGCACTGGGCGAATCCGGCGGAGATCCATGGGATCCGGGGTGATCGATGCCATCCGTGAGATCGGGCGGTGGCAGCGACTGCTGCTGCTGCTGCTGCTGCTGCTGTTGGTGTTGTTGCTGCTGGGGGTGGTACGAGGAGTGGTGCATCTGGTGCTGGGATCCGGGATGCTGGCCGTAGTAGGTGAAGGCCGACTGAGCGGTGGCGGCACTGTACGAGGGCGGGCCCAGGGGCGAGTGTGGCGGCGCATGGGCCACCCGAGAGGCGGCCGCCGGCGACAGTTGATAGCCGACTCCGCCGCCCGGCGACCCGGCCGTTGGATCGTGCGATCCATTGATGGCCGCCACCAGTGTGGCCAGATTGTTGCGACTGGTGTTGCTACCCATCTGGGAGGGGGCGGGGCCGTACTTCCCATGGGCCTGGGCCTGGGCTTGGGCCTGGAACTTGTGCTGCTGCTGCAGCTGGGCGAGCAGTTGTTGCTGCTGCTGCTGGTAGGCCATCGGGGGATGTTGCAGCTGTTGTCCCGTGCCGCCGCTGCCACTCCCGCTGCTGTTGCCACTCCCATTGCTGGCCGTCGACTGTTGGCTCTGCAACTTGTTGCTTCGCAGCGACATGGCGGTGGTGTCTGTTTCCCGGAAGGAAGTAACTTCTTCTTCTGTTGCGTGGATGGATCGTTTCTCTCTATCGTTTGCCCCCCATTTGTCACGTGACTTTTGTGTGGCGTGGCGTGGCGCACTAATTATCAGGGAAACCGGGGATACGGGGATACGGGGAACCCGGGAACAGGGAACACCCTCGCGTGCGTGGGCTTTTTTCTGCACTTCACTTTTTCTGCGTGTCACACGTTTTGTGTACGTTTCACTTTTTGCTGCTTAACTGCTGGTTACTCCACTTGTTGGTTAATTGCTGCAATTAGAACACTTGTTATAGAGATGGTGTTGTGTGGCACAGTCAAGTGGCAAGAGGCAACAACAGACTTTCACTTGTCGTGGTTTTCGATTCTTGTTTACAACTTCTTTGACACTTTTTCACTTTGCGATCGGAGTTTCGATCACTTCCTAAGACAAAGCGATTAATAATCGATATCGTTCGATAAATTTTCACAGATTTAGCGCCGGGCCATAACTTGCTTGCCACTTTTTTACTTGAAGATCTTAATTTTGATAAGTTTCGGTAATAGAGTAGAGATAATTTTCTTTACGAATGAATCCTTGATAATAAGTTTCATAACATTCAAATTTTGCGAACATTTGAGAGAACTCCTTGATCATAAAATCTCACGCAAAACCAATAAGTTCTCTATTCTACCTCTGATTAAAAACATAACGAACTTTCCGATAATGTTTTCGATAAATATCCAGCGAAAACCTAATTAACTTTGGTGTAGCCTTTCGCCGACAATTTGTCAACTTTGACACAATATCCAATTAAAAGTCACACCAGAATCAACAATAAACTCCCTAGAGGCCAGAGCATCCCAGATTTAACCCTTAGTTGAAGGCTTCTTTAACACTTTAGCAACTTTTTGTGTTAATCCACAGAGCGATAGACCGCACAATCAACCCAGATTCAACAGCAAACATGCAGCAATCAACCGACAGCCACTGTGGCAAGTGCCATTCAGTAAAATGTTTTCAATTTGATGAAAATTAACTGCAAAATGCAGCAATGCTGAGGCAAGCAGTGCGCCAAGAGTGGCATGCCCCACCAACCACCAGCTGCAAACCACAAAAGCAAAAGCAAAAGCAACAATAACAGAAGGCATGGCCACTTGTCGATGTCATCATCAAAAACGTTGCCAGTGCCGGCAGCTGGCGAAGATGCTTCCAGAGAGGGAGCCAGGAGTGCGAGTGGGTGTGCGAGTGGGAGAGCTCTTGAAGATGGAAGAGACCCTGGAGGAAGCGAGGGTAGATCCAAATGGAAATCCTAGGAAATGGAGCATCCTCTCATGTGCAATGCCACTGGCCACTTGAACTGAAACAAAAGACAAAAACGAACAGAAAACGGCAAGGGGAGCTCCACTCCGCTCCGTTAAAGGATGCCCCAAAGGCAACAAAGGAAATGCAACCACAAAACGAGGAAGAAAACAGTGTAAAAGGGGTCTCAAAATTGAAGTGTCTCGAGGGGAAATCGAGTGTAACCAAGTGGAGAGAGCGGATTTATACACAATTTAAGCTCTTTAAGATTTATAGATATCCCAGGGGCTAAGGAAAATGTTTAAGGTCTCAAGATAATCCAATAAATTGCATGAATATCTTGTAGAAATCTCCACAAAATGTGGGAAATCTTATGCTCCAATGTAAAGTGTGAATTTCAGACAGAGCAAATCCCTTCTGTAACTCAGACAATCAGAGAAAATCCCTTCTGGACTCCCACTCCTCCCCAAACCAAAAAAAAAAGGTCAAATGCAATGAGTTGGCAGCTCTGCGTGTCAGACGGAGTTCAAGTTGGAAGAAGAGAACTTCTCTTATTGGAATGCAGATTGAAAAGCAGGTAGAAGTGCCATCGAACGGGAGAAGAGGGACCGAGAGAGAGAGAGAGAGAGAGGAAGACGCAAAGTGCACAGGTAAGCGGAATAGTGGAATGATGACAGGATACACAAAAATACAGAACCAGAAAGGGAGGACAGACAGATAAAAAGGGATTGCCTGTTCGCAGGCGAAGCTGCGCCCCAAAGAAGAGGGCCAACAAAAACTACGGCGAATTGGTATTCCATGTGCGTGCGTGTTCATCTTTCGCCCTGCTGCCCCCCCCTCTAGACGTGTTTTTGTGCCCTTTGAGTTGTGCGTACATAAGTATTTCTTTTGAAATTTAAAAGAACATTTTAAAGACACATATTTCTTCGTTTCTTTTTGGTTACTTTGTTTGTGGGCCACAAAATATTGTGGTATCCATCGAAGTAGAAATTGGTAAGCAGAACAGAACCGAACCGAACCGAACCGAACCGATGAAAAGTGTTGGGCGAAATCTTGACTAACTGTAACACTAGGCTTGTGGCAAGGGGATCCATAGATGTTTGTAGCTGTTGTGGTTGTGGTTGTGGTTGTGGCGGTGGTGGTTGTTCCAGTGCACTGACTTTTGCCTCGTTAGCTTACATTCTGTTTTTAGTTGGTTATTTCTATGCTTTTTTTTCCTTCTTCTTCTTCATTTTTGTTGTGGATTTGGCGCGCGACGCCCATTAAAAAGGCGGCCAGGCGAGCATTTAAGAATGAGTGCGAGGGGCAGGGGCGGGTGCCGGGGGGAGAGAAGAGTGAATGTAGAGCGGCAACAATTACAATGGGCAAACTTTTAATACCTGGTAATTGCCACCCACAAAGGGTATATCCATTTGAGACCAAACTTGCGCTCACTAAAGATTACCCATAAATCACTACAAAACAGTTTCAGGCTAAAGTATTTTATCAATCTATATATTTCCATAATAGTGGGTATATTCCCAGTCGTCTTTTATCGTTTGAATGCTCTCAACATTTGTTTTAACGGGCCTCTCCTCCATTCAGCCAGGCACTACTATATAAAGCAGAGCGAGTGGGACAGACAGACAGACGATTGAATTAGCAAATGCGTTGCTCCACAGAGAGGGGAGGCAAGGAAGGGTAACAGACCAATAGATAGGAAGAGGGAAGTAAGCGAGGGGCAGCAATGGGGGGAGACCGGCATATTGCACATGTGCAGCGTCAGCGTCAGCGAGCGAATATTAAATATGAAGAGAAAGAAGAAGTAGGAGGAGGAGGAGCAGAAGGAGAAGCAGAAGCAGAAGCACAGCCTAGAGAGAATAGGCTGCTCTGTGTCTATCCCTCTCCAACTCGCTGGCAAGTTCATTGAACCTCATTTACAGTTCACTAGTTTAACGCCACGCCACACATTCCCATGGGCCAGAAAGGGACACACAGAACGGGGGGCGAGGCAAACAATGGGTGTGCAAAAAAAAAAAATGGGGAATCGAGAAGGGAAAGCGCTGAGAAATAACTGGAGACAAAAACGAAACTAATGCGATTTGTGGTAGCAGCAGCAGCAGCACAGATTCAAAGAGATTTCGTTGGTTCGTTCGTTTCGTTTGGAGTGGCGCCGCCACCGCCGACAGCCAAAAGCAATCAAATCCAATTAAGAGCAAAAAAAATAATGGCAGCGTAGCATGGGAGGGGGGAGGAGTGAGAGAGGAAGCAGAACTTTGTTTCAGTTCGAACAAAAATTTTTTGTAAGCGTCTCTGCCAATATGTAAACGCAACAACAGCAGCAGAAGCAGGCGCAGGAACAACTCTGCTCAAAGAGAGCGCAGCCAAAGAGAGCAGAGGAGCGAGGGAGCGAGGGAACGAGAGAGAGAGAGGCAAACAGCAGCCGCCGCAGTAACAGAAGTATCAGCAAAAACCCAACAACAATAAACTCTTTGACCAGCAGCTGCTGCTGCCGCTGCCGCTACGAAGCGAGTCTCTGCACAGTGGGATGCAGGTGTTTCATTTCGCAATTAAATGGAAAGACATAATTGCATGTGCAGATGTCTGGGCCTGCAGGGAGTTTCAGGGAAAACAAATTAACGAAGGTTCCCAGGCTAATTCCGAAACCACTGTGCCGACATTTGCACAGCACAGTGGGATGAAGGTGCCTTATAATTTACTTTAAGCAACCATATGGTTGAGAAATGTTTGCCAGCTGTATGCTCATGCCATCCCACTGTGCCGTCATTTACACTGCACAACAATCCACAAATACAAGTGTTCGGGGTGGCGGCTGCTGCTAATGGAACACAGGGCGGCTGCAGCGTCGGCAGAGGAAGAAACAGCAAATGGAAACCGCTGCTCTGTCTGTGCCGTGTGTCGCTCTCCCTCTCTCTCTCTCTCTCTCTCTTTCTCTGTCGCTGTCTACAATGCACCAACAAATCAGCAGCAAATGCAACAAAAGCAAAACAGCAGCAGACAGCAAATACAACAAAGGCAATACAGCAGCAGACAGTAAAAACCAACGGACAAACAGCAGCAGCAGAAGCAGTAGAGGAGAGGAGAGGAGAGGAGAGTAGAGACGACAGCCTCTCATTGTAGTAGTTGTTGTTTTTGTTGGTGGCAGAGTCCAAAGGCAGCAAAAGTTCTGTTCCCCAAGGCGGAAGAGAGACAGACAGATGAGAGGGGGAGTGGGCAGAGAGGGGGTGTCACAGTTAGTGCGTTCAGTATGTTCCCATAAATTTAAATTTTCGCGCAAACGGCGCCCACAACAACAAGAGTAAGAGCAGCACAGCGCCGCAGCAGCAGCAGCAGCCGCCGCCGCACGAGCACCAGCGGGATGGAGAATGAACAGCAAAAGGCAATAAAAGAGAGAATGCGTTTTCTTTTTTTGGGGGGTGGCTTTTGGGCCGTCAACTTTGGGGGGGAAGCTGTGCTGTGTGCTGGTGGGAGGGGGAGAAAAGTTGTATGGAACGGGATTATGTTGGGGGTCGAAAGTCGTTGGCAGAATGGGAGAGGGCAGAATAGGAGAGATGGGGAGTGGAGCACAGCCAAAAGTAGTAAAAAGGAGAAAGAAGCAGCTAGGGGGTGTTAAAAATCTCTCCATTCTTGGGATACACACACACGCAAGCAGTCAGTCTCTGAGTAAGAAGAGGCGGAGGCGACATACTATCATGAAGAAGAAGAGGAGGAGGAGGAGACATCCTCCGCCCAGCAAGTGCAAGAGGAGCACGGAGCACAGAGAATCCGTCTAGACAACATTGTAAGTAGATACAAATATTTGTTGGGCTCCACACCGCAACAGAAGGAGCAAAGGAAAGAAATAATGAAGTAAGCTCTTCCTATCGCATGCTCTCGCTCTCTCTCTCTTTCGCTCGCTCCCACTATTCGATAAGGAAACAATTGTTACGGGTTTTTTCTGTATTCCATGGATTGCACCATCATTAACGGTGTTTACGGATAAGATAAGGCACGCACAGAAAACGATTACCGTACATTTTTCCACTTTGTTTCTTTTTTCGTGTAAAAATTCAATTTCGCAAAAGGGAAATTAATTATACTACAGGAAAAACACTCTGTCTCGCTCTCTCAGCCATGCCTAACTGTTATTATTTGTTTATGCTTTTGTATGGCTCTCTCTTTCTTTCCTCTTCCTCATTTTGTTATTGATATTTTTATGGCTCTCCGCCACTTCTTTCTTTCTTGATTTTTTGTTATTGATTTCACTTTTTGTTGTTGAATTTTTCATGTTTTTTCTCACAAACAAAATACATTCCAAACCGCACGTGTGTTGTTTCTGTATAACAACAAAAAAAAACAAATATATAACAGCTGTTGTTGCCGCGGTATAACAGTTGTAGCTATTGCTTTTGTTGTTGTTGTTGCTGGGCATGCGATCACACCTGTCTGGGCCCCTCTGCCAGCGCCGACGCTAACGTCACCTCCACGGCTGGCTCACAGAATTGTTTCTGCCTATTATTTACCATATTTTCTCATATTTCTTGTATTCCCACACCACACACAGTCTTTTCTGTTCGAGCACATTTGTTTTATGGAAATCCAAGGGAATCTTCGAAAGAAATACACAGAAAAAAAATAGTCTCTTTCTGCATCGAAATGCAATGAGCGGGCAGCGCAGTCGCAGTCGGCTGAGAATACGACGTCAGCTGCTGCGTCACGGCGACGCCGCTTGTGTCAGAAGTTGTAAAACCGGATTTTCCTTTTTTGGGCGCGCGCGGCTGTTGTATAGCTTATTGTTGTTGCCTTTTGCACTTTGTTTTTCGATTTGTGTTTGAAATTCCTCTGGTCTTTTTATTGATGAAAAATGTTAAACTGATCAGCATTTGCTGTCTCTCTTTCACTCAAGGGCAGCACTGCGATATCGTTGCTTTTTCTTCTTCTTTTCCACATTCTTTTGGAACACTTCTTGCACTTACACTTGTTGGGGCGACTGCAATAACAAATTCGCAGTATGTTTGTTTGTTTGCTTTTCTTTTACATAGTAATAATTTACTGGAGCAACTAACTCACACACACTCACGCACAAACAGAAAAAAAAACAAATGAAACACGCCAAGCGACGCGCCGCTAAAACAAAACAAAAACGCAAAATGCGGAAAAAACTTAAAAAAAACAAAGCCGCGTCTAATTTTTGCCGTTGGCTAGAAATTTGTTTTGAGCCGTGAAATTAACTTTAATTCAAACTAATAATTTTTATTTATTTTTTTTTTTTTTGTTTTTTAAGCTGTCGGCACACAACAAACGCAATCGCAGCGCGACGACGACAGAATTCCGTGCGGTTAAAAGCTGCTCTTACTTAATTTACTTAATTCGGTAACGACGCGCAGCAACCGCTCAGTTCAAAAAAATTGGAAAATTTGATATTTTGATAACATTGCGAGATTAATTTACATTTGCTCAATTCATTACATGGCAAATACACGGTAGCTACACATTTGCTACATAATGGGAGGAAAAAAATGGTATGGACGACAGGCCACACGGCCCAGAAAATTCAAAGCACGCCAGGTGAAATCCACCCTATTTGCCCAATATACCTTGGAAACAAAATCGTCGTTTTTGTTTTCAAGGTATATTGCTCGTCAAAACACGGCGAGGTGAGGTTTGTACCAGCACTGAAATCTTTCTTGGCTGTTTTTACCTGTTGTTCATTCCTCTTTATATAGCCCATTCAAAATTACGACTCATTTTTTCGTCGCATTGTGAGCGTCTACCCTCAGAAATATACCGAAATATACCGTCTCCCTTAAAAAATACACTGATGGCAAAAACGAGCTTAGCAGGTCATCAGCTTGAATAAACCGCTGAAAATAATACTATTTGATCTTGTAAAATTTGTAAAATTTCCCCGCTACTAAATCGCGAACAACGGGGTATGGACAACAGGCAAAACGGCCAAGAAAATGCAACACATGTAAGGTAAAGTCCACCCCTTTTGCATAACATACCATGTTGTATGATAACAGACTCTCAGAAATATACCGAAATGTCCATTTCACTGTAGAAAACATGTTGCCGGCAAGGTATGGACAAAAAGCAAAACGGCCCAGAAAATCCAACGCATACACGGTAAAATCCACCCCGATTCCTAACATATCGTGAATGTTTACACGGCTGTTAAGCAATCACAGCATATTATTGATCAAGCACGGTGAGGTGAGGTGCGTGTTTCCTTGAAATGTTGATGAACCATTTTTGCCTGGGATCCATACCTTTCCATAGCCCAGAACAGTTCGGTATGGCGGGTTTTCTTTTGAAAATTGTGGAACCTATTCAGTTCAGCCGCACCGAATGTATCCAGCAGCATGCAGTATGTTGCTAGCATGTTGTTGGAGGGGCCTACTAGGGTTCAAATTAACAAAAAAAAAAAAACAGACTGTTATATTCAAAACAAGTGTAACAGCCGAACTCAACTTCCAAACTCTTCCTTCTGGTTCATACATACGGGGGCTGCCTTTAAAGTCCGTAGTCTTGGCCATTTCTAGTATGACCAGTTCACAGTCGCCCGTTCCATTTCAAAATTTTGACTTTTTTGGCCAAATCATGCACAGAACTTTTTCTTCTGCCACTGAACCACGCGAACAATGGATGCTGTGCCATGAGATATAGGCAATAAATAAGGCCAATAAATATTTTTATTTACTACTATCAAAGACACTTTTCCGTTGGAAAACTTCTGAACCTTCAACCTCACATATTTATTGGCTTATTCCATACCCCTTTGCAATCGAAACCCCCTCCCCAGCATCAACCACAACATACCCCAAAAATAATTTCCGCCAACTTGGAAATGGAATGGAAATTGTATCTGGAAAATGTCGAAACTATCATTGAAAATCCATTTGCATACCAAAGTAAAATAAAAGATAAATACAAATAATATTTTGCTTTTGCAAGCACTAAACGCCCCTCCCCTCCCCGCCACTCCCTGCCATCAACCATTTTCAAACTGTAACAAAACATAGCCCTCCCCTTGGGAGCGGCCACCGGAATCCCATGAAGCAATCGTTGAAAGAAAAAACAAAACACTTTAAAAGCAAATTTTGCCTTGTTTTTCCACAAACACAAACACACACACATGCACAGGGAAATACCATAAACAAAAGAGGGAAAATCTCTTCTAAGTTTTTACCAAAAATTGCTCTTCAAGAATTTTCCAAAGTGGCTGATGGCGTCTCCTATTTTTGGGCCCACATTTTATTTAGGTTTACATTTGCACTAACACACATACGTGCATAAGTACAGTGGACTATCACATAGACGGAAACAAATACAACATATTTGCACTGTTTTTGTGAACGGAAGTATCACTGGCTTTAGTTATGCTCCCTGTTGGCGGGAGGGGGTGCCACGATGTGGTGGGGGACGGGGGGGAACGTTGCCACAGGAATGTTGTTTGTATTTTTGTTTCCAAAAATGCCGGCAAATGCATAGCAAAGTGCAAGTCCAAAGAGAGCAGCGACATCAAAGAGAGCGAGAGAGAGAGAGTGTAAAATTGACTACAGTTTTTGAAGCGCTGCAGTGGCATGAAACGTTTTAGAGTAAGTGTCATTTATAGCATGGGAGTAAAATGTTTCGTCAGACGGTACTCTGAAACTGTAAAATAACTTAAAGCTGTGTGTCGATGGAGGGGGGGACGGGATAACGGCGGCGCAGGAATGTTGCTTGTGTTTTTGTTTTGTTGTTTCCAAAAATGCCGGCAAATGCATAGCAGAGCGCAAGTCCAAAGAGAGCAGGAACATGAAAGAGAGCGAGAGAGCAAAATGCACAACAGTTTTTTAGGAGCTGGTACGAACCGTTTTTGAGTAACTGCTGTTTATAGCATGCGAGAAGAATGTTTCAGTGAATTAGAAACTGTAAAAACTTAAAACTGTGTCGCAGCATAAAAAACTGTATGGAAACAGTTTTTGAAAGGGTGTTGAGAATGAAAAGTGTCTGGTTGGAGAAAGTGTTTATCATAGAAGTGCTTGTTAAACTGCGATCAGTAGAATTTGTATGAATTTGAAACTGTGGGCGCGAGCTTCAGAAGAATTTGAAACTGTTGTCGAGCGGATTCGAAGGGAATTTCCAAAATATTCTGGAGGGAATATTCATAGAAATCGTGGAAAAAGAATCCAAGTGAATGTGCAACTGTTAAGGAGATCTTAAAACTGTAGTTTTGCGATCTTTTGAGGGAAATGGCTAAAAATGAACAGTTTTAACACTTTTTTAGGGGCTCATCTATTGTTTAACTGAAAGATACATTTAGTTGGTATACAAAATAGAGGGCCTTGCTTCCACTATTCCACTATCATCACTAGCATCTTCAATGCACCGCCCCCAAGCGACTATCCTTCAAGAAAATTAACTTGAGAATCCTGATAAAAGAGCTGCCCATTCATTGCAATGGCAGAGAGCTGCCAACTTAATTTATATTGTATTTTAGATGCAAAATTCACAACAGCCAAAGGAGGAGTAGAAGAAGATGCAGGAGAAGGAGGAGAAGGAGACGTAGAACAGACTGCAACAATAGAAGAACGAACAAAGAGAGGGAGAGAGAGGGAGAGAGAGAGAGAAGCTGCTTTAATTTTACAACTTGACAAATTGAATGTTTTTTTGTGGAATGAAAACTGGAACAAAGAAAAAGGAAAATATCCTCGTAGAAGGGAAACTTTTTATCAGAGAACGAAGTACGGATACCCTCGAATATAGTCATTATTTCTATGCTTGGAATTGGTTGAAAAGTGTAAGATTTGATTGATTGTTATGGGGGGCTTTGTACCATGAGAGCTATACGAAATAGTGGTTGTGGTAGATAAAAGACGAAAACCCGCTTAAAGGGCAACCAAAAGACGAGTTAATATCCCCAACAGAAAGAACTGCAGCAGGACAAAGGAAATGCAGTGAAGGAAAGCGAGGAGAATGGCGGAGAAAACGGGAAGAACAGTTGGGGCAAGCGGGGCAGAGGGGTTGGGGGTTGGTAAAACAAGACTACGGAATTGAAGGAACTCGGGGAAGGCACTTTCCTGCAGTCATAACGATAATTGTCTCAACAAATTAACATTGCCAAAGGTCAAATGGCATTGGCTTGGGGAATTTCGGATTGCTTCCGTTTCACACAATAGATACTTCCCCCCCCCCAGCCCCTGTTAGACAGATAGACAGATACTTGCCTCGAAGCTTAGGTAAACGAAACCTCTATTAGCGATGCAACGCACGAATCGCAAGGCAGCCATAAAGACGAGACTTTGGGGGCCAAAAGCAAAATTAAACGGAGCCACGCCCACCCCCCCCCGCCCTACCCAAAACAGAAACAGAAACGGAGGGAACGTGCCACGGTCAAGTGTGACCTACCGGCCCTCCTCCCTCCCCCACGGCCGAGCCAAACTTTGACTATAAAAGCCACTACCTTTGGGGTTGGTAAATCATATCAGTTTCTGTTCCACCAGCAGCCACAAGCCCCCACAAGCCCCACAAGATGTTCAAGTTTGTGAGTAGACCAGTGGATACCCGAAAGGAAGCCCCCCCCCCGCCCCAGGATCATCTCTTCATCTCTCCATTTATCTGTTCCCAGTTCGCTCTGTGCCTTTTCGCCGTTGTTGCTTTGGCCGCCGCCAAGCCCCAATTCCTGACCGCCTACACGGCGGCCACGCCCTATGTGGCAGCCACGCCCTATGCGGCCTACGCCTCGCCCTACACCGCCGCCTACACCAGCGGCGTGTATGCCGCCTCGCCGTATGCCTACAGCGCCGGATATCCCTACAGCTCTCTGTATCTGAGACGTTAAATGGATCCCCACTGTACGATCGATCCTTGATGACAGACCAATGAACGAATAAAACTGATAATTCCCTATCCAAAGAGTCCCCCAAAAACTATTTTGCTTTGAGTGGGGGACAGGGGATTGGGGGGCCAAGAGAGTTTAAAACATTTACGAATTAGCTGTTTGGTTTTTGCTTTGCAATTTCCGTTCCAGCTATCAAAAGCATTCGCCTCGTATATCATGTGGCAAGTGGCAGATACACAGCACGAGGGGGGGGGGGGAGGGGGCACATGCATCGTTTGCTAAAATGTGCAAATTATGGCAACTAAGTTGCATGCCGCATGTTGTCCCAAGCACGCAATGGGTTAAGTGCGGGAGCGGGAGAGTGGAGTGGCAGGGTGCATGCTGCATGCTGCATGCTGCATGGACTTTACTTCAGGTTCCAGTCGGTATCTTTTCTCGCCGGCACCCCCCTCTGCCATTCTTTTCTTAGTCGCTGTCGCCATTTGCATATTGCATATGTGTGTGTGTGTGTGTGTGCGTGTGTGTGTGTGCGTGTGGCATGCTTTCAGGCGCATTGTGGCATTGTGGCACTGTGGTTTCGAATTGGCCAAAATGCAAGTAAAGCAAACCAAAGGAGCATTCAAAATGCCAGCGAAAAGGAAAATTGGGTCGCAATGATAACGGAAAACGGTAAAAGGAAAAAGGAAAACTGCGCGGAAAATGATGAATGCGTAAAGAAGAAAATCATAAACACGAGTGGCTTGTATGCGAAATAAATGCAAAGGAAAATGCATTTAGAAAAGCAAGGAAATTGCCAGCTCCAGGGGAAATTCGGGGGAAATTCGGAAAAACCCACACCATTGCACACGGTGCATGGAACAAAGAATGTTGACTCCCATTTTCCACATTTATAATCTTAAATTCTACACCCAAAAGCACTCCTTTTCCACCCAGAAGAAAAACCAATAAACTTTTCACTTAATTTTCCATTATTATCCCATTGTTTTTCTTTGCCTCAAGAACAAACAGAAACTGTGTTTTCATTCCCACTCCCGACATCCCACTGTGCAGAGGAAATCCCCCCACAGTGGGGCGCGGGGAAGGGTGGGGGGGGGGGGGGATAGAGAGAAAAGCCGTCATCAGCAGGAGGCGTCGTCATCCACCATGTGGAAATTGTTCGTTTTCCTCTTTTTTTTGCCTGCCTGGCATTAAGCGTGGAGCAAACTTTGAGATATGTGGTATAAAAAAAGAGAGCGGTGGCCCGGGGGTGGGGGGAAGGGGGAATTTCCAAATCCAAATCTAATTTGCATCGAGGTGGGATGACGGTAAGCCACAGGAGGCAACGCCTACCACATCCTGGCTAGAGGAGGGCTGGCAACACGCCCACCACATCCTGGATAGAGGAGGAGGCGGCGTCTGCCACAGAATTATAGGGACAGAGGCGATGACGCCTACCACATCCTCGAAAGGGGAAGGGCTGACGCCTTAATAGAAGAGGCAGGCAGGCGCCTCCTGGACCAGCTTCGATAGAGCAGGAGGAGGCGACTCCAGAGCCTCGATAGAGCAGGAGGAGGCGACTCCAGAGCCTCGATAGAGCAGGCAGGCGCCTCCTGCCACAGCCAGCGCCTCCAGAGAGCAAGCAGGCGCCTCTTGCCACAGCCAGCGCCTCCAGAGAGCAAGCAGGCGCCTCTTGCCACAGCCAGCGCCTCGATAGAGCCCCGATTTAGAAGAAAATAAAATCCCACGCATAAGTAAACCCACACCCACACACGCCAAATGTCTCTGGAAAGTGGGCGAATGTCAAAAGTCATTGCATACATTTCAGGGGAAGTCCACGCTGCTTCCTTCACAGCCGCTTTTCTTGGGAAAATCCGCCCACGCCCTTCGGTTTCGCCTCATTATCATCCTCATGTGTGTGGCTGTGTGGCTGGATGTAGTCCATCAATGTCAGACTTACCTGCAAAAGAGATAGGGAGAAAGAGAGGGAAAGAGAGAGAGAGATTCAGGCATGAGAAATTGAAAGAATAATTCAAGTTAAATAAAGTCAAGTGTTTGTATGGGAAAATCCCTCACCCTGGGGTAAATACCAATAGAAAATGAGCGAGGGATAAAGATACGACAAATGCAGGGATGCCCTTATTGGGCCCTTATGCCCATAAGAAGGCGGAGAATGGAGAGACCTTAGAAGATGGTTAATATAATGCCATTCTTATAGCGTTCCTTTGGGAATCCTTTCTTAGACCACACCTTTTTTTGAGAGCCAAGGCTCAGGGAGGCATTGGTTTCCTGAGATATCTATGAAATGCACCTCAAAAAGAGCCAAGAATTGATTGAATTCTTTGGTGGAAAACCGATAAAATACTGTCCAGATTCCAGGGTTTTGTCTTACAATTCCGACACCGTGTCCAAGCACTTCTTAAAGTCCTTGTAGCCCGTGGCAGGGCATGTGATTTGGCCACATCGTTGGTCTTTTTTGGTGAATGTTGTCTTTGAATTTTGTGTCGTTGTTTGTGGATGCCATAGAAATAAGCAAATAACTCAAGTCAAATCCTGATTACCAGACATTGAAGGGCAATCGAGGCGAAATCTCAGAGCAGAAAAGATGAAAGGACGAGACAGGAGATACACTCCTAAATAGGAGTTGCGATAGAGAATGTGGCATAATCGAAAGGATATCTCATGCAAGGAAAATGCATTATTAAATCAACCAGAAATCCATACGAAAAAAAATACTCCCCTCGGGCTTGGCCCATGCCAATCAATCTATAAAATATGTAAATATTTGCCCTGGAAAAATGGGGGAAATTTCATAAATTTTCATGGTAAACTTTTCGCTTTTCCGTTTGGCTGTAATTGATGATTAAATCATGGCGTTTATCAAATTTGCCCGCTGATTAATGATGGCCCTAAAGCGGGGAACGGAGGAGGGTGGGGGGGGTTCAAATTAATTGCTCGACTATTAGCCATCTCCCAGGGAGACGGGGAGACGGGGAGCCCAGGACCAAGCCACTCAACAAGTGATTATGCCTCGAAAAACGGGGTTTCGTTGCCATTTTTCGGGCAAAATGGGATCAAGGATTCTTTTTGTTCTCCCTCTCGCCCTCTCGCCCTCTCTCTGTATCCTTTGAAGTGGGGGGCATGTGTAATTGTGAGTCCTGGGGTTAACGCCTACGCATTAAAAATTCATTGCCAGCGAGTGTGAGTGGAGTTGTGGAAATGAACAACAGTTTTCCCCCCCCCCCCCCTCCCCCACCCCTCACCCTTTCCCGGGCACGAACCTCTGTTAAAAATGCAGAACAACAATTTCCGTTTCCGTTCGCCGGGTCGGGGCTTTAGTCGTAATTGCTGTTGTTTTCGCTTGCGAAACATCCTGCCAGCCCAAAAGGAGAGTCGAGTCGAGTCGAGTCGAGTCGAAAGGAAGCTGGGCTGGACCTCTAGAGTCGGAGGCTGGTAGGTGGAGCGTGTTGACAGCTAAATAGGAGCTTCGATGGCAACTCAATTGAAGAGGCAATTCATCGTTTCAAATCGTTGAGGGGCAGGCAATCGCAGGGCCTTCTTTTCCAGCAAGCAGTGAGATTGAGAGTGAGAGTGAGAGGCTCCTCTTCTGGCGTTGAGTGGAGGAGGAGGCACTCTGAGCTTTTATAGCTTCTAGTGTGGCTCTTGCTCTGTCTTTCAGTGTCTTTGCTTCTCTGTCTTTCAGTGTAGCTCCTTCTCAGGGTCTCAGTGCCCTTACTGTTCTGTCTTTAAGTGCCTTTGCTTCTCTGTCTTTCAGTGTAGCTCCTTCTCAGGGTCTCACTGTCTTTGCTTCTCTGTCTCTCAGTGCCTTTGCTTCTCTGTCTTTCAGTGTCTTTGCTTCTCTGTCTTTCAGTGTAGCTCCTTCTCAGGGTCTCACTGTCTTTGCTTCGCCATCTTTCAGTGCCTTTGCTTCTCTTTCTTTCAGTGTCTTTGCTTCTCTGTCTTTCAGTGTAGCTCTTTATCTATCCTTCACTGTAGCGCCCTCTCCATCGTTCTTTCAAGAGCAGCAATCCATCCTTTTATCGTTTACTGTTGCTGCCTCTGCTCCTGCCCCTGCACCTCCTCCTCTGGGGGCTGTCTCCTGTTCTCTGATATCTGATATCTTATCCCACACGTTAAACTCAAGTCTGGCGTTAAATTGAATTCGCGGGAAACCGAACCAACACCAACACCAACAAAAACAACAACAAAATTTCTTCCTTTACTTTTGACTGCGTTCAACGTGGCGTATAATCGATTTTTATTCGATTTATATTACTATTTTTTGTGTAGTTCTTTAAGAGGAGGTTGCTGCTCAACCACTGCCGTTAGAGGTTCGGCCACAACTAAAATCAATTGCAAAACGCGGGCCAAAAAAATACAAGAAAAAACTGTCACAATGGCCAGGAATGTGAGTGAATGTTGCACTCGGACAATGGTGGCTCTCTCTCGCTCCCTCTCTGGGGTCTGGTCTGCCTTTGTCTGGCTGTGAGGCATGTTCTGGTCAAAGAAGAATCCGCGAAGGTCGCCGGGCCAGAAGAATGGCAACAGCGAAGCATAGAGCCCCACATAAATCAATAGAATGGTTAACGCATTGTGGGTCATACATGGGCCCCGAAGACAACATGAATACCCCCAATCTAGCCCGAATTTCCAATAAATTATAAATTATTTCCCATTTCCTGCCATCCCTTTTATGATTATAATTTGTTGAGCAACTTCTGTCCTGTCATTGGCTGGCTTCCCCCCCCCCCCTTCTTTTTGGGGAAAACTTCAAGTTTTCTTTCAAAAGAACTTTCGCTTAACTTTTGGCCAATGAAAACTTGTCGCTGGCTCGTGATCCATGACGAAAAAGTCGGAAAACCTGAAAGTTTGCATAGGAAATGCTCTCACCCCCCCCCCTCCCCGAAGGTCCCACGTTCGTGTGGCTGTTGAGCGGTAATTACATGGGACAACATGGCGTATGAGTGGCCGCTATATTTATTGTCATTTGCCGCTCGCGATGCTCCGATAAGCAGAGCGCGAGGGGCAGTGGGCGGGCGGGTCTGCTCTCAAGTGCCACGGTACTGCGGTTAAGGGCTCTGAAT